TAACTCTCTTAAAGATTTGGATTTTTTTCTCTATGAATAAACATCACGTGTCACATAATTCAAATAAATTGAATGAGACAAATTATGTTGAACGAACTCACATGTCATGTCGAATTAAAAATTAAAAAAAAAAGAATTAAAAGTAATGAAATCAAGTTTTAAAATTAATTAACTAAATTTCAATTTCCATTAAAACTAAATAAATATGAAAACAATTGAAGATCCAAAATCCAGCAATCCATACAATTTTCCAGAACTCTTTGATATCTCATGTGAAAAAAAACCCATCAAAATTTTTTTTTTTAAAAATTTTTAGTTACCAAATCGTCAAAAGTTATATAATTTAGGGGTCAAAATACATATTGACCAACAAATAGATACAATATTACCGTATAAAAAATGAAAACGCCAGAAAGGAAAAAAGCCAGGAACAAGAGAGTTGGAAAGTCTAATACTTTTCGTTTCTTCAAGCCAAGCATCTTTCCTTTCCTTCGTTGCTAAAAGCCTAAAACCAAATGCAAAAGCAAAACTCCTCTGGACGCTACCCAAACCCGAATATGTCACCAGAAGACAACGAGGTTCCGTTACTATCCGACCATGACTCGGACCAGGATGTAGCTTACGAGTCCGGTGAAAAAGTCCACATTGTCGGAATCAATGAACCGGACGATGAAGGCTCACTGGGTGTGCCACCTTTTTCCTGGAAAAAGCTTTGGCTTTTCACGGGACCCGGTTTTTTAATGTCAATAGCGTTTTTGGATCCTGGAAATTTAGAAGGGGATCTTCAAGCCGGAGCTATAGCCGGCTACTCTTTGTTGTGGCTGTTGATGTGGGCTACGGCTATGGGGTTGTTGGTTCAGCTGTTGGCGGCTAGGCTGGGTGTGGCGACGGGGAAACACTTGGCTGAGCTGTGTAGAGAAGAGTATCCGACTTGGGCTAGGATGGTTTTATGGGTTATGACGGAGTTGGCTTTAATAGGAGCTGACATACAGGAAGTTATTGGAAGTGCTATTGCTATTAAGATTTTGAGTAACGGTGCTTTGCCTTTGTGGGCTGGTGTTGTTATTACAGCTTGCGATTGGTCAGTATTCTTGTTGATTTTGATGAATTCTTTTTCTATTTTCATTTTTGTTAGTAGTATTTTTGTGGGATTTTGTTTGCATCACTGAATTTTCAAGGTTTTTAGTTTATTTAAAAGGGTGCTTGGTTGAGTCAGTGTTTTTCTCCTTAAAATATTAAAGAAGCTAGTACTAATTAACCATTAGTCAAGCTGTAGCCTGTAGGCCTTGCTTGATTATTTGACTCAGATAAATCCCAGTTAATTGTTTTTTTTTTTAGTTTGGCCTGGATATAAAATTTCAAGCTTTTATGGATAATGAAAAACTGAACTTATCTGAAGAAAATTGTAAAAGAAGGCTTTTTTTAATGTTGTAGTTCTGTCAAATTCTATTTATATCCATTTATTTTCTTATATTTTTGAAGTAGCTCGCCAGAACGTCAGATAGTGCGGTATGCTTACCTGGTTCTTCCTTTTCTTTGCCTTGTTACAGTTTTATCTTCTTGTTTCTTGAAAACTATGGAGTGAGGAAGCTGGAAGCATTTTTTGCAGTCCTTATTGCAACTATGGCTGTCTCATTTGCTTGGATGTTCGGTGAAACAAACCCAGTGGCACCGAACTTCTTCTTGGTGAGTAACTCCCCTCCATTGTAGGCTGTAGCAAAATTTTTTTGGCTACCTTTCTTTTACTTGTCCTCTCTATATGTTAATAAATTTCATATCGTATTGCAGTTGACTGATTCTCATATGGTTTTATATTCGCAGGTGTTTTGATTCCAAAACTCAGCTCCAAAACCATCAAGGAGGCTGTGGAGTTGGGGCTGCATTATCATGCCTCACAATGTATTCTTGCACTCTGCTCTCGTGCAATCAAGAGAAATCGATTACAGCAAGAAAGGCCGGGTGCAAGAAGCTCTCAATTATTACTCAATAGAGTCGGCTGCTGCACTTATAATTTCATTTTTAATCAATCTGTTTGTTACAACTGTCTTTGCCAAGGCATTTTACAATACAGAAATAGCCAGTAGTATTGGTCTTGTGAATGCAGGGCAGTATCTTCAAGAAAAATATGGAGGTGGGTTATTCCCGATTTTATATATCTGGGCTATTGGGCTGTTAGCAGCTGGACAAAGTAGCACAATTACTGGCACTTATGCTGGGCAGTTCATCATGGGAGGTTTCCTGAACCTGAGGTTGAAAAAATGGCTAAGAGCATTAATCACAAGGAGTTGTGCAATTATTCCTACTATTATAGTTGCTCTTGTTTTTGATACTTCTGAAGCAGCGCTAGATGTCTTAAATGAATGGCTTAATGTGCTTCAGTCGATTCAGATCCCTTTTGCTCTTATCCCACTTCTTTTTCTGGTATCCAAGGAGCAAATCATGGGTACCTTCAAAATTGGCCTTGTGCTTAAGGTATGCTGCTAATTTCCATGTGTTGTGCCTTGCTGACTTGTCTTGCCTAATATAGTTCTAGTGTACTTCTCTAGCTGGTGCCTAAAATTTCCTTCCCATATAAAGTTCTATTTTTGCCATGAATAATTTGAATTGAATGCATTTGTACACGTTCTTCCATGAGTGATGTTGCAATGCCCGTGTACTTGCATTGACTGCAGCATGAGCTATACTATTCTATTGGCAAACTTTGATCAGTGGCTGTTTGTCTTGCTGATCTAGAGATCATAATCAGCTCTTATTTCAGAACAGCTCATTGCTTTTTAATCAATAAAATGTGAAATCAGTTCATTGATAATGGTGTGGTGACATGATAGCAGTTGGAAGAACTTCCTTACCTTCCTTTTTAGCAGGGAGCGAGTACAACTATTATTTGTGTAAAAAATGCCTCTTGAGAGTTCTAGATTCAGTACATTTTCTGCTAATGTCAACTGTTATCCTTGGCTCCTTGATGCTATAGATACATCTTAAACTCTTTTTCTATACTTAGTTATCAACCAGGTGCCTGTACTGTTTCATTGTTCAAACTATCTATATATGCTAGTTTCTAAGTTCCACATGTTTGGTGATCAAGATCTTCATCCCCACATTGGTTTACCAATATTTTCCCTAGTTTAAAGCTTCCCATGAGTTCATGTGTAAGATTTAGAATAGTTTTGGTTCTTTGCCTCTTCTGCCGTCCTAAAGGAATTAGGGAAACATAGGAAAGGAAATTCACTTAGATGATTGCCATATCAGCATTCAAGCTATGTGGATCAATGAGCATTTTACTTGCCTTTACTGCTTGTAGATCCTATCAAATCAAGAATTTGCCTCACTTCCTTTAAGAAGGAAAATGATGCTGCACTTTTGGCTTCCATCTTAGAATTTTATGCTGCTGTTTTTGTTTATGCAGTTACATTTTCCCCCTTCTTAAACTTTTCCCCTCTCTTTTGCAGACGGTTGCATGGCTTGTGGCTGCGCTGGTGATAGTGATCAATGGGTATCTTTTACTTGATTTCTTCTTCTCCGAAGTCACTGGTGTAGTATTCACAAGTGTAGTGTGTGCATTAACAGGCGCATATCTTGCATTTATAATTTACCTTGTTTGTCGGGGTTTTACTTTATCTGCTCGGCACAGTTTGATACCCCCTCTAAACAGACACAGGGAATTGAGTGATCAATCTTAGGCTCCCTTGTAAAGGCAAGAGATCAGAAGCGTGTAATGCTTACTGCCAATTGCCAATTGATTTAGGTGCCATCGAACTCTATTTCATAGATAAATTCCTCTAGTTTAAGCATATCTTTTTCGGAAATTTTCACATATACCCCATGTGATTTGTGACTTTCCTACTTACAGCCACTGTAAATTTTTTTTTCCCACATATAACCTTGTAATTAATTCACTTCCGTTGCTAGAAGGGATAACGAATCAAACAAATTTGAATGAAATTACAAAATTACTCTCTTATTTTTTAACCATGTTACTTCTTTGGACAACGGAGATGAACTATAAGGTTATAAGCGGAAAAAAAAAAATTTTCACAAGAGATTTAAGTAAGAAAGTGGCAAAGTGAACGAGGTATATGTGAAGTTTTGCATATCTTTTATGGTAGCTTACTTCCTCTCTTGTTTCAAACAACAAGGTTGTAGGATCCATATTATTGTTAAAGAATGTATTTATCATATCCTGCTTTATACAGAGGATTGAAGAGAGTGAGGCTGTAGCAATGACATTCTTTTGAAACATTTGAAGGAGCCAAATTATGTAAATTTCGAAAATGTATCTCAAAATTTATTCAAGCTGGCTATATATGTGAACCAGCTTTGAACAAACATGTAATTCAATTGATTACTGATGCATTTGCTATTTTGCCATTTTTTTAGTCTTGAACTTTTAAGAGGCAAACTTCTTTAATTTTGATTTCATTTTTATTTTAAATATATTGCTAATTAAAATATGAGAAAATATTTTTTTAAAACCCGAGCAAGTCAAATATAACTTTATAGAAAATTAATTTAATAAAATATTTAAATATTAATGGTCAAAGTTTTTTTTTTTTTTAAATTCCTAATCTATTATTGAACATTCTTACATCAATAATTATTTGGGTTGAAAAAAGTATTATACACAAATCTTATCAAACTCGTAACTTTCAAATATTAATTTCAACGACATATTAAATGTTTAAAGATTTGTTCATGTACTAATGGTTAAAGCTAATAAATTTTTATAATAAAAAATTCAGTAATTTTTTTGGAATTTAAGGATGACGGAACAATAAATAAATAAAGGAAAATAAAGGAAAAAGTGAAAAGAAAATATTACGGAAACTGGGCTGGAGCTTTAGGAAAATTTGGTCTGCTCAAGTTGAGCCCAATATTACAGAACAAACGGACCAGAACCCAAAGAGGATTTTGTAATGTGCTATGCAAAAACTGGAAAAGAAAAAAATGAAAAAGGAGGCTTCAGTGAGATAGCGAGAGACACGTTGCAATAAAGAGAAGAAGCAAGAAAAAGAGGAAAAAAAAAAAAAAAGCAAGAAACGAAAGAAATCTGCTCTACCCCTTCACAAAATATCCTTCTTAGGAAACAAAGAGCAAAGTTTCTTGACCGCCGACTGAGGTATGTTTTTTAATTAATTTTTTTTTTGTTTTATTTATTCATTTATTTTGTTTGATATTTCGGTGTCTTGGTTTTGATAGTGTAGAGTTGGTCTTAAAATATTATATGTATGAAACAAAAATTAAAAAAAAAAAGAAAAAATTCGGAGTTTTTTGGTGGTGTTGAGAAAGGCAAGGGATTTAGTTTGGGATACAATGAAAAATAAAAGAAAATTAAGATAGGCGAATTTTCCTTCTTAAACTATGGACAAATAAAACCTAGTTTCATGAGCTTATTGGTGTAAAAATGTCAATGGGTAGTGTGACAGACAGAGAAAAGCAGGGAAGAATGATTCGTTCTTCTTTGTTCTTTTAACATGTAGGCTATTGGTGTTTCAATTAGTTTCGACATGTTGTCTTGCTATAATTCGACATTTATTATGTATTTTAGGACATTAGGTTCGTTAGAGACTTGAATGGCTGTTTTCAGCCCCGGTGCAAAGAAGTAAGAACATGAATTTGGGGAGTTTTTGCTACTTGATTGAAAGAAATGCCTATAACATTTCGCCATTAGGCAGAGAAGCTGTGGATATATTCCAATGGATGTTCTGCTTGCTTAATAAGGTGGCAGACAATTAAATGCTCTTAGAGCGCTATGGGTATGGACTGCTAGATTTATCTTGAAAGCCTCGTCTCCAGTATGTTTATGTCGTTGGCTTCTATATTGAAACTGTTTTATCAGGATGGTGCATTTTTCTCTTTACCCCTTACCTTCCTCTGTGTTTGTTGTTGTCTTCTATGTAAACTTTCTTTGGTTGCTATTGCTAATTCTTTTTGTTTATTTATTTATTTCTGTAATTAATAAATTTCAATTAAATCTTGTAGCATTGTCCTTGAACTTTTGTGATTTTTCACAGCTATGGCCAGTACCGGGCAACATGTGGCAAATGATGCTGCATCTTCTCTGATAGAGCAGCTTTGCAAGGCAGTTCTTGAACTGGAAGCTTGCAAGGATGCTTCTGAGGACAAGGTTCAATGGACAGAAATTGAACAACATTTCCGCAATCTTGATATGACATTAAAGAAGAAATCTGAAGAGCTAGAAGTTAAGGAGAAGGAATACGAGGAGAAAGAAGCTGAAACTCGTGCATTGATTTCTGAGAGGGAGGCAGCTGTTGCTTCTAAGGAACAAGACTTCTTGGATCGAGTGCAGGAGCTGAAAGATGCTGCTGTTGCTGCCATTGCAGAGGCACGTGCAAATTTCCAACCAACAATTGTGGAACCGCTTAATGCTGGGGACAACAAAGACACCAAGGTAAGCAGCCCTGTTGGTGATACATACTCTACTGATGAGGACTTTCCTCATAAAACAGGTGAAAATACTGAAAATGTGGCTGCTGATGTTAAGCCGCGTCCAGAGCTGACGCAATTTTGTGAGCAAATGGATGCAAAAGGACTTCTTAATTTTATAATGGAGAACCAGAAAAATCTATATGCCATTTGTCAGGAACTTCCTGTTGCACTAGAAAGTGCAAGTGAACCAGCCCGTTTGGTGCTGGATTCATTGGAGGGGTTTTACCCTCCTGATGAAACAACCCAAACGGGGGATAAGAGGGATGCTGCCCTTCAGGGCATGCGCAAATCCTGTGTTGTCTTAATAGAAGCCATGGCTGCCTTTTTGGCCAGAATTGACCCCGGTGCTGATCACCTTCTGAACCTTGAAACCAAGCAGCAAGCCAAGGCAATTGCTGATGAGTGGAAACCTAAGCTGTCTAGTGCAGGCAGTGACACTGCCAATGGCAATTCCTTGGAAGCAGAGGCTTTTTTGCAGCTCCTTGCTACTTTTAGGATTTTTTCAGAGTTTGATGAAGAAGAACTCTGCAAGCTTGTTGTTATAGTTGCTCACCGCCGGCAGGCACCTGAGCTATGTCGTTCCATTGGGTTAACACAGAAAATGCCAGGTTGGTGTTCTTTTAATTAACTGACCTGATGGGGTTTGGAGGCTGGACCATTGCTTCCATAAGATGTGTCTTGAGTTTTATTCCTTTTGGTGTAATGGTGTTTTAGATTATTTGAAAAATATATTACATATTGGAGTTATTATGATGTATCTCTGCCCTGGTGAAGTCTATAACACTGTTTGCAGTAGATATGCTAAACCATGTCTTTCCATGGCAGCTGTTGTTGAGTTGTTGATTAACGGTGGGAGACAAATAGATGCTGTACGATTTATTCATGCCTTCCAGCTTACTGAAAGCTTTCCTCCTGTGCCCCTCTTGAAGACGTACTTGAAGGATTTGAGGAGAAATTCGCAAGGGAAGAGTGGGAACTCTGGTGGCGCTGCTGGTGCACAGGTATGCATGCTTATTCAGGATGTCCAACCACCCCATGCTAAGAATGTTTTCTATACAGAAAATAGCAAATGGTGATTTCCTCTTTTTTTACAGGGTGATGTAAATGCACAAGAACTTGCAGCGTTGAGGGCTGTGATAAGATGTGTTCACGAGTATGGGCTAGAAGCTGACTACCCACTTGACCCACTCCAGAAAAGGTTTGCTCAACTGGAAAAATCAAAATCAGATAATAGGAAGAGAGTAGGAGATTTTGGCAAACATCACCAGTCAAAGAGGTCAAGACCCAGCGGTGGATTTAGAGGATTTCGTGGACCTCCTGGTAGGCAGGTGCCACCTGTTTACAACGAGAGGGCTGCATATGTAGGAATGCCGGAAAGGTACCCTCATGCTGGCCCTAACCCCTACGATTATCAAGTCCCGAACCAACCTGCTTATGCTCCGCAAGCTAATGATCAAAGATTATACTACTATTCTCAAGACGACAGAGGTCCTGCTCCCTCGTATAATACAGCTACATCTAACTATGGTAGCTATGGTGGTAGCGGATTGCAACCATCACACCAGCCATATATGTAATTCTTGATGGAAAAGTTCACCATAGATACAAGATAAGGAGATCAGATTTTTTGCCCCTATATGATGCTAACCGTACCCCCTCATTCTTCCCTTTTTCCTTTGAGGCTTCTATTATCAAATGCCTTCAAAACCATGTTTAGTGTTAGATTGAGCTTGCTATATTGTAATTTCCTTATGGACTGATAACCTGTTGGATATGCTAATTCAGGACAAGTATTTTCTTCTTATCTTTCTCTGTTGATTCTCATTGGCATGCATGAAATTGCATTCATTGATAGTGTTAGTTATTTTAGTACCCATAAATGATGATGGTCCACTTCAGTTTAATAACCAAAACGACACCGTTTGGAGGGCGTGTGAAAACGTGCTTATATTTTATTAATTCCTCAGACGTTGGTTGGAGAAGAAACTGACGAATCCAAGTATTCCATGCCATCCAACGCCTACATTTTTTTGTCGCATCAGTTTGGTGCAAAGTTCGTTTCTGGTACCCATCCATTGACATACCCCTCTTCTCTTTCTCTCTCGTCTCGGGTGCTGCCTTCGATTCCTTTGCCTCCGTCGGAGCCACAATGCTTTTCATGGCACGGGCACTCGTTGACCTCGCCGTCGCAACCGTCGCTTTCTTCCTCCTCTTTCTTCTCTCCCAATCAAATCCTTCCACGTCACCTCCACTCCTTCTCCCTCCACCTCACCATGGCGCCCGTCCCGCCATGATCCTCCCTCTCTTTCCTTCTCCAAGAATTCCTCTAGAACATTCTCCAACTCTCCTCGTCACCTCCTGAGATCCGACTCTCACTCTTCCCATCCCAACGCTCGAATGCGACTCTACGACGATCTCCTCCTCAACGGGTACAACATTATTATACCATTATTATTTACTCCAATTCATTTTTCCCTTTTTCTTTTAACTGAGATTTTCGAGGATTTAAAATTTCGAAGGTATTACACTACGCGGCTATGGATCGGGACACCTCCACAGAGATTTGCGCTTATAGTGGATACTGGAAGTACTGTTACTTACGTTCCTTGCGCTACTTGTGAACAATGCGGTAGACATGAGGTGATGTATTCATTCATCTTTGCCTCTTCTTCTCTTTCGATTTTTTTTATTTTAATTTGAAAAATAAAACTTTTTTCTTTCCTTTTTTTTAAAAATTATTTCATGTTTATTAATGTTTTTGACTTTTAGTGTATTCCAAGCATATTAGAGTAGATCTGACTAGATAAACTCCTTTTTTTTTTTTTTTTTTAATTTCTTTAGCATTACCCTCCTATTTGAGATATTCGTTTAGGCTTTATTTGCTCGTTGCTTTTGCTTTGTGAAGCGAAAAGAAAGTTATGTTTACATGTAAAAGCCAACGATATTTTTTTAAAATTTAAATGAAAAAAATACAGCTTTTATTTATAGCAAAATGCGTGGTTTTATGTTTAGACATATAATAATTACCTTTGAATTAATTTTACATTTTAATCAGCTGCTTATTTTTCATTAAATATGAATTTATTTACTATTTGTTTTATAGCAATTTTTAGAAAACAAAAGCATGTAGGAATGCAGCCTTAATAATTTTCAGTGAAAGGTTTTCATCATGTTGATTCTGAGAAATTTTATTTAGGTGGTTAAGCTAATAGGTTTTATGATTTCTTTTTATCAGGATCCAAAGTTTGAGCCGGATTTGTCCAGCACTTACAAACCTGTAAAGTGCAATTTGGATTGCAATTGTGACAATGACAGGGTGCAATGTATTTATGAGAGACAGTATGCTGAAATGAGTAGCAGTAGTGGTGTCCTCGGTGAGGATATCATGTCGTTTGGGAATCAAAGTGAACTTATGCCCCAGCGTGCTGTTTTTGGTTGCGAAACTGAGGAAACTGGTGACCTTTACAGTCAACATGCTGATGGAATTATGGGATTGGGACGTGGTGATCTCAGCATTGTTGACCAGCTTGTTGAAAAAGGTGTGATTAGTGATTCGTTCTCATTATGTTATGGTGGGATGGATATTGGTGGGGGTGCTATGGTTCTTGGTGGTATATCTGCCCCATCAGACATGGTCTTTAGTAATTCAGATCCTGAACGCAGGTATGTTTTGTAAAAATTTTATCTCAGAGATAGAATGTCTAATCAACTTCCTTATGAATACGTTTGATACATCTGACACATTTACTCTAGTTTTGGGATGGCAACAGTCCATATTACAACATTGATTTGAAAGAGATACATGTAGCGGGGAAGCAGCTACCTTTGGAACCAAATGTCTTTGATGGAAAGTATGGAACTGTTTTGGATAGTGGTACAACATATGCGTATCTGCCTGAAGCTGTATTTGCAGCGTTTAAGAATGCTGTAAGATTCAGTTCCCATAAATGCACCATAATTTCTTAAAATTTTAGTTAGGCCTATTAATGTTTTCTTACTGGACCATCTTTTGTCTCCTGGCTGAGTGATATATTGTGTTTAGAGGATTTAAAAACTTCGCTTGTCATTCTTAATGGCATTAATATGGGGGATCATTGGAGTTTTATTCTATCAGTTGTACATATTCATCTGGAATTTTATAGGTGTTTGTAAGGGCATGAGATGACTACATGCTTTACACGTTGACCTGTTAACAGTCAAAACATAAAACTCCGCATTTTATTGTGTTTGTTCTTTTCTCATTTTATTTCATATTTGCATCTGTATTGTAGATTATAAAGGAACTTAACAGCTTAAAGCAGATCCGTGGCCCTGATCCAAATTACAATGATATATGCTTTTCTGGTGCTAGCAGGTATTGATATTATGTTCCATAACAGAAAAAGTGAACAGTTTTCAATTATTTGTTATGGAAACTAATTAGTTATCTTTGTTCTGCTATTAACTTTTAAATTTTGTTTTTCTGCTTCAGTGATGTCTCTGAACTCTCTAAAATGTTTCCAACAGTTGAAATGGTATTTGACAATCAGCAAAAATTATTACTGTCACCTGAGAATTACTTGTTTCGGGTAAGTTTTTCCCACTTTAATTGCTTTCCTGTTGATTGAACAACTTAATTTCTCAGGGGAACCTTCTTAAGGTCATACTTGGAGTTGGTTTCAGAGGAATTGCGTTTGAATTCAAATGAGTATTTTGCTCTTTCCTCGATGTTCAATATGTGACTAGAGGTTTTCTGCTTATCTTACATCTTATATTGATAAAGCATTCAAAGGTGCACGGTGCATATTGCCTTGGGATCTTCCAAAATGAAAAGGATCCTACTACTCTTCTGGGAGGTATGTTAAGCTTCAGATAACTTGTATTTTGTGATACTATTCCTGTTAAGCTTTAATGAGACTCTTTTTTGCTGCTCGGTCTTAGTATTGGAATTTGATGGAATTGGAACCATCTTCTTGGGCAAACTTTGGCGAAATATCTCCATTTTCAATTCCAAAGCTTTTGTTTGATGCCATGAAAATTGTGGGACTGTTATTTTCTTTCTTGTTTTCAACTGTACCTATATGTCTGTAATAGGGATCATTGTGCGCAACACCCTTGTTACATATGACCGTGAGCATTCAAAGATTGGTTTCTGGAAGACTAATTGTTCTGAGCTTTGGGAAAGGCTTCACACACTATCACCATCTCCTTCATCTTCAAGCGGGAAGGATAATTCAACTGTGGAATTGCCACCTACATCAGCTCCTGATGGACCATCACGATATGCTCTTCCAGGTACAGTAAACCATTGTTACCCAAGGACCTTATATGGTTCTCATTGTGTTGGAACCCATTACAGGTCTGCAGTTTATTTTATTGAAAAGCACGAATGATGATCGATACTTTTATTAATTACGCTTTCTAAGTGATATTGTTATATTATATTCCATCTTCAAGAAACAAGGTCATTCTACTGTTCGATTTCCATTTCTGGTGTAAAACAAGGTCATGCTACTGTTCATTTTCCATTTCTAAGTGATATTGTTATATTATATTCCATCTTCAAGAAACAAGGTCATGCTATTGTTATATTATAATGTCTTTCAGCTTCAGTGGAAGTCTTTCTGATGACATTTCCTTGTTGATGAACAGGGGAAATTCAAATTGGTGAAATTAAATTGGATATGTCATTGAGCGTCAACTACTCATATCTAAAGCCTCGCATCAACAAACTTGCTGAGTTGATTGCTAAGGAGTTAGATGTTAATGCTTCACAGGTTAAACAACCGCTACCGTCAAATGCAGGAGCATTTGCTGGCAGTAATTTATGAACTGTTATTGCGAAATTACATGTTAATTATTGAAGAAATTTTTAAACTATCTCACTAAACAGTTGTTTTTTCTGTCTACGGGTAGGTTTGCAAGTAACATTTACTTTATTGGTTTACGAAATTTTTTGGATGATTTCAGGTCCATTTATTGAATTGTACATCCAAAGGAAACAACAGTTCTCTTGTCAGATTGGCCATAGTCCCTACAGGAACCTACATTTCTAATGTTACTGCCATAGTAAGTCTTTTTTAAATCATTGCAATTCTTTTAGGTCATGTTTGGTGCATTAGATGATGCACAAAATAGGATGATAATTATCCCATCTCATGTTTGGTTTGTATCTAAAGAGAGGGATTGGATTACAAGGAGGATTAATCATCCTCTTGGTACAACGTGATTCAATCCTCTGAAAATAGAGAGGATTATTTTTAATCCATAGGATTAACTTATATGCTGTATTATACTCTTAAAAGTTACACAATAAATTTAAATTATGTAAACTTTGAGGAAGGATAATTTTGATCAATATATATAATTAGCATATCCTAATCCTTGCATGCATGAAACACAAGATAGAATGACATTATTTAATCTAATCCTATTCATAATATTATCTTATCTTATCATATTACAATCTTATCCACTAAATATGCCATTAATATACAAGATTACAGCTGTTTGCTTGATGAATTTCTGCTTCCAGAGTATAATATCTCGGCTTGCTGAACATCGTGTGAGGCTTCCTGATACTTTGGGAAATTATCAGTTGGTGCAATGGAAAGTTGAGCCTTT